GAGAATATAAAATGTAGAAAAAATAAAGCCCACCTTTATTACCAACACTACCCCCCCTCCCATAATATTCTGATGTGCACTTTTCAAAAGAAGTCTTTCAGAGATATTTTCTGTATCACATGCCCAGATGCTTCTGGGCACTCAGGAGGGTCAAGTAGCAGGATCCCACGAAGGGGGCCCCGCACAGGCCCGCATGCCTTCTCTGAGTTCCTCTAAGGGCTGGGGGGGCGGGGAACTCCAGCAGTGGCGAGAGGCCCCCTGAGCCTGTGGGGGCTTACTTCTGTGGGGTGTTCCCCAGCAGGCCAAGTGGGGGTCTGGGGTGAAGGTGTGAGCTGGAAAAAAAGGGCTTCTTTTTTTTTTATTTTTTTATTTATTTTTTTTTAAACTTTTTAAAAAATATTTTTTATTTATTTTTAGGACAGAGAGAGAGAGAGACAGTGTGAGCAGGGGAGGGTCAGAGAGAGAGGGAGTCACAGACTGAAACAGGCTCCAGGCTCCGAGCTGGCAGTCAGCAAAGAGCCTGACGCGGGGCTCAAACCCACAAACTGCGAGATCATGACCTAAGCGAAAGTCGGACGCTCAACCAACTAAGCCACCCAGGCGCCCCAAAAAAGGGCTTCTTTTGCAGACCTTTGTAATCATGGAAAGGGAAACATGACATTTTAGTTTGTACTTATTGATCACGGATTTTGGTAACCAGCTTGTGTCTGTGGTAGGAATTTTTAAACCATCATTTGAAACTTTTCTGTTGAGAATGAGACACTGACAAATTATCTGTAACCAATAACTCCTTGCGCAGAAACAATGAGCATAGGTAGGATTTAATCTTACCCCTGAAAAGTGAAATGGTTGTAGTTTTATGCATGTAGCAGACATTGAGCATTTGTGACAGATGGAATGCTCTACTGGGGCTGAGTAACCAAATGTGATCTAATTCTTAAAATCGGTAAGATTTTTTAAATATGTTGCACTATAAGTTCATGTTTAAGAATTCAGATAATGTCAGTAATTAGGATGCAGATGCATTAAAAACATCTCAAGCGTTGGTAACTTATCTGTGCAGAAGTCACCAGAAAGTTGCAACCTAAAAGCCGATTTTGTGGAATAATACAGTGGTAACTATTTAATAAAGAAGTTCTGCTCCTTAAAGGAGTTTTTATTATAATTTTTATTGTAATTGTAATTTTATTGTAATTGATGATAACACATGAAACTGATAACAGACATGAACAGTACTGTAATAATATAAATGATTGAGTACTAGATTTTGTGGAACAAATTAAGTACTTGAGAGATAAGATAAAGGAGCCAACCCAAAGAATGGTAGCTGGGAGAAAGCCTATTGGAGGTAGGGGGGCTTGAACTGCTGGGTAAAATTCCCCAACGTCGACTAACCCGCGCCTCCTGCAGCCAGGAGAGAGGGGCCGTGTGCCCCTGACTTGCTCCACCAGGCCCTGGAGGCCGGAATTCCTCCAGCCGTTCCTCCCCTGAAGATGGTGGGTAGTTTTGGTCCCCCGTCCTGAGGGGCGACTGAGATTACAGGTGTGATGTGAAGCTTTGGGGCCCAGGAAGTGTTCTGCAGGCAGAAGTGGGTGTCGGGCCTTCTACACTCCGGTGTGATGGAAGTTAGAAGCTCCTGAAGCATTTGACCAGAGAGGTAGGATACGCCAGGGGCGGATTCATACTGATAGCTACCATCTGAGCTGTGTGCATGTTCTGTGCCTTAGATCCTTGTCAGGGCGCTTCATTCTCTGAGAGGAAGGGAGCACCTTGCCCCAGGCCGCATGGCTGCCCGGAGGGAGGGCAAGGTTTGAACGTGGGCCTGCCTGGCTCCAGAGTCTGGGTTCTTTCTCCTTCCACCAAACTGCCTCTCCCGGGGAGGCCATCTGTCAGGGCTGATGAGCCCACGCAGAAGAGGTGTGACTGACTCAGGTGGTTACTGCTGTTCCTAAAAAGGTGTGTGAGTTCAGAGTACCTGTTGGCATCCCTCCATCCCGAAAGGAGAGAGGACGACGAGGAAGACGAAATAGGGAACCAGCAGAGCAGTAGGAAAGGAGAACTTGGGGATTGGCTGCAGAAGAAAGGGGACAAGATGAGTCACAGATGATGGCACTGTTTGAAATGAAGGCAGGTTCTGGAAACCTGACTTTCCTCGCTCTGGGGTTGGGCTCCAGAGGCCCCAGGCCCCAGTGGCAGAGTCTGTGGGTTTCTCGGAAGTCTAGTTTACGGGCGGGCACACACCCAGCAGTCACGTGAGGCTCCGCAGGCATTCCTGCTCGCTCTAGGCGCCGTGTTGCCTGCCGGGGTTGTGCTGTTCTAGTCCTAGTGCGATGGGTGTTGTGGGGTGGGGAGGGGAGTGACCTCAGGTAAGAGATGTTCCGTGTGTTTCTTGGGCCTACGTTTACTTTTGTGCCTTCTAGAACAGTGCCTCTCACCAGTGTGGAAGGACCAGTTTTAAAAATTTCCAATCTTTGGACTGATAGTTTTCTAAAACTAAAAAAGCAATTACTAGAAAACAAAACTGAAAAAGAGGTACAGAATATAAATTCTAATTTTTATTATTTGGGTCAACAGATATAAAATTACCCTGATTGCCATAAAAGTTTCTAATGTTTATTATTATTTTCTGTACTTAATCTTGACTGCGACTAGTAAACTGTTCACGAGCTGGTACACTTTGAAAGCAGTGATCTAGGAAGAAAGTTGTTAAGCAAATTAGTAAACAAGATGTTTGGGTAGTATTTACATGAGTTAAGAGTAAAAGTCTTTCTTTTGGCATTTAAAATACTTCAGGCATTTGTGCATTTGTGCACATATGATCTAATTCCAGATGACATCTTTTCAGTAGAGTTCCTTAGTAGGAGGCGGGGATGTAAAATAAATCTACCAAGAATTGAGGCTCAGTGGTTACTGTAAGGGATCCGTAGTAGTGATACTTGGAAAATCAAGTGCTTTTACTTTCTGTGTCGTTTCTGAGAACCATTGTGTATGGTTTTGCTCATTTAATTTATATTAGTATGTTTTCTCTGTCAGTTTTTGGCTTGCCTTTGAATTTATTTTTATAGTTTTGTGCATAATTTTCGATATGTTCTTTAAGGGGGAAGTTCCCGAAGCTAGCTGTAAAAAAAAATTCTCAAAGAGTTATACCTGCTGATACAGAGATCATGTAATAATTTAACTGTTTGTATTTCAAATTTGTTTTTTGTCACTAGCTGCCAGTGTTTTTATACTTTTTATTTTGGGCTCTTCTGATGTTTGCTGATAACCCTGTTTGCTCTGAAATAATTTGCTGTGGTCCTTTAGCCTAGCTTCTCTTTCCCTACCTTTAGCTTCCCGCAGGCACCCTGTCCCTGTCCAGGGGTGGTGGTGGCTTTCTCAGCTTCTGCATCTCCCTCAGCCCTCTGCTGAGCGCCGCCTTCGGCCCCCCTCAGCGCGGACTCCCAGCCCCCCTGGCCCCCTGCAAAGTCAGGTCTTCCTTGTGTTTTGTATCATACTTTATATTACACTTTTCAGGGCTATTTCATGTATATGTACTCTTATTTCATTCTCCAGACAATCCCATGAAGTTGGTAGAACAGAGATTCTCATCTCCATTTTAAGTGAGCTGTGAGGTTGGGAGAGAGAGCGTCCGCATCGCGTGTGTCTCCATCCCCTTGCCCTGTGCTCTTAGAGTTCCTCTTCCACCCAGTGCAGACTTCTAGGTGCTGGGCTTTCGAGTTTGCCCAAAGATGCCCGTAATTTTGAGGTCCTCTTTTCTACTCAGTATTTATGTTTGTTCTTTGAGGAATGAAACATTATCTACTCAGCACAATGGCACAGACCTCTCTGGAAGAAAGAAATCTTCAGAACCTGATGCAGGGGTTGGTCAGCAGACAGCAAGGGCCGTGGCCCCAGAGCAGTGCCCAGGGCCGGCGTGGCTGTGTCGGAGGACACACTCAGAGTCCTAGTTGTCTCCACCTTTGACTTTCAGCTCAGACTGGAGGGGGGTGTCCTTTATTTCCACAATATCAGCCCTGTGTATTAGATTGCAGAGAACATTTCTCTTAGGGATTGAGGGGGAGGCACATTGAAAAATCACTGGGCCCAAGTCAGAAGTCATTTGCTTCTGACCTTGGGGTGTGTTGGGTGTATGTTCTCCCCATGTCCTTTATGGTCAAACAGGCCTGGGTTCTACATCTAGCCACTTCCTTAGGTAGGTATGGGGACTGTGGCTAAGTTATGAACCTCCCTAAGCTTGTTTTCTCATCTGTAAAATGTGGCAATATTCTCTGTTCTGAATGATCATGGTAAGGATTAAAAGGTAAAGCGTGTCACACACCTTGAGTGTGGGCTTAATAAGTGGAAGGTGCCTGAAGGCTCATACAGAAGAGGGACTGTGACCCAGTAAGAAGGTTCTGGCTTATTGTTGGCTGTAGCAGTGGTTCTCAAATCCGAGTGGGCATCGGAATCACCTGGAAGGCTTGCTGGGCCCACCCCTGTAGTTTCTGATTCCTTTGGTCTGGGGTGGGGCTTGAGAATTTGCATTTCTGAGTTTCTAGGTGATGCTGCTGCCGCCACCGCTGGCCTGGGGACCATACTTTGAGAACCCCTGGGCTACAGGTAACTCACCAATGAGCATTTAGATGCTATAGATCTATTTGCAGGCTGAGTTTTTATGTGGTTAGAGGTACTCGGTCAGAAAATGCTTGGAATGAATGCATTTTACAAATCTGAATTTAGTATCTCAAGGATTTTTTTCTCCTGAAGTCCAGGAGTCTTTGTGAAAGATATTTGAAGAAGAATAAGTTGTGGAAGTAATAGTTAAAAACATGAAGAGTCTAAGGCTATCACATTGGCTAATGGTATGTGAAAGTGCTTTTACAAAATGCTGAAAGCTGAAAAAATTTTTTAAATATCTTTGTTAAGATTGAACATCATAATGGAGTATAAAATAGTGTAACTATTAGATTTCTCATCTCAATGTGCTGTTTACCGTATGTATTTTTCTCTTTCTCCTCCAGGCTGCTGACTTGAGTAAACCAATAGATAAAAGGATATACAAAGGAACACAGCCTACTTGTCATGACTTCAACCACCTAACAGCCACAGCAGAAAGTGTCTCTCTCCTAGTGGGCTTTTCCGCAGGCCAAGTCCAGCTTATAGACCCAATCAAAAAAGAAACTAGCAAACTATTTAATGAGGAAGTAAGTAGCACCCTGTCTTAGCTGTTAAGAATCCCTTTAAGAATGTCTACGTTCTTACCAAGGGCAGTGGGCCTTAGTTTCCGCATTGAGCTAAGCCCATTTTTCATTCGCTCTGCTGTCCTACATAGTATTACTCGTTTAAATGTGCTGAATTTACTTGTTGGCTTATACCTGTTCTTCCTTGGGGTAATGGTTTTATGCATTTTCTTTATGGAGCATGCTCCGGTGTCTAGAGCAGGTGCTTTAAAACTTTCATAATGGAGACAGGGACGAAACTGATACTTGATATTTTATAATTTAAATAAGAAAATACAGAACTCTAGACCTTGTTCACATCACCAGAAAATTTCATGCTGACCAGAGAACTTGATAGTAATTCCTCAGGCTGCTTAAATTGTAGCCCAGGCTTTTGTGTCTATGTTTGACAGGTGTTTGGCCAAGGAATAGTTTTCTTTCTCTTGAAAATATTTGCTGTAAAACCACCTCTGACACAGTTTGAAATCCTGGCACTTAAAATTGGATCACATGACACAGCTTTTGCCAGTGTTCCAGCCTATGCTGGGTTTCTAGTATCTCCAGTTTTGTTCTGGAAGGAGTCTGCGCTGTTGGAGCCATGTCGTCAGGAACATGTCAGAATGTTAAACGTGGCAGATAGGTTATGTTTGTTAAAGCTATTGGAGTGGCTTTCTGGCCCCAAGGGTTGCCATTGCAGATTCCATGTTCTTCCTCTGTTTCAGTGCGACTTTTCCAGCAAATGGAAAAGCTGCAATGGGCTTGCTGACTTAGAAGCCCCGGGTCCGCAGTGTCAACCTGTCCCCTAAACCCTGATATGTGCAAGGGTCAGGTCACATGGGATCCCTCAGGAAGGACAAGTGATTTTGCTCTGTTGTCTGCTTTTGACCCCATTAACTTGTAACAGAAGCACCTTATGGATTCTGGTTTATAAGAAGTAATTGTGTGTGGGCAAGAATATTCAAGCTGACAATTTGCAGTTAAAATTCGGATTCTTTTGTAGTCATCGTGGCACGTGCTGTCTACCCCAGCCGGTCCCTGTCCTCCATCCCCCATCTGGCATTGCCAATGGGTTCGGTGAAATCTTTTGAATTGGGTCAGCTCTGGGTCTGGTTGCATCTGGGTTGACTGGAAACAGAACTTGCCATGTGGAATGACAAAACGGCAGAAGAACCAGTATTTAATCTGATTTTTCTACCCCCCCCCCCAAAAAAAGGCAGAAAATTGTTTTATTTACCTAAGTGTTTTATTAATAATATCTGGAGAAGTGATTTCTTAGTAGTGGAATGGTTTTGTTGTTGTTGTTTTGTTTTGTTGTTTCTTTTGGTGGCCATCGGTGGGGAGCAGCCTGCCACCAGAAACCGAATTTGGAGTCCCTGTGGGGTTTTGTTTGTGTCGGGGTAGGGTAGGTAGGGGGCCGGTTACCGAGGGGCAGGGGTTGCAGCCATGTAAGGAGCTGTCGGTAAACGACATGGGGAGGTGCTCTGGCTGAGGACGACACAAAATGCCACTTTGGGAACAAGAAGGGCTTGTGTGTCATCACAGGGGAGGCGGGAGGCTCAGGGCCCCAAGAGCATCAGCCACATCTGTCCCCCGCTCTGGACAGCAGAGGGACTGCAGGCTAGGAGGCAGCGCCTCATGCAGTGATTGAAGCCGAGTTATCCCGTACTCATCTTATATTTTATTTGAAAAATGGCTGTCCAGAATGCTTGGGCTGTGTGTGGGTAAATGTCAACTTGGCATTTATAGCTTGAAGCTGACATTGATTGCCTTGCACAGTAAGGAAATTTCTTTGTGCAGATACCAGTTTCATCAGGTCTTGGTCAGGGTGTGTAAGAGCAGGGTCATCAGAGGCATGTCCTCTCCAGGTGCCAGGGGCGGTGCTTGAAGCAGGCACCACGCCATGCTTTGCCTTGGGATGAGATTTGGAGGTTTCAGGTGGTTTTGTGTTTGTCTTTTGTGCGGTCGGACGGGCAGCTGCTGCCCTTTTATAGATGAGGACAGTCCAAGAGAAGGTAAGTAAATTGTCCAGGCAGGCAGCAAGTTGACGAGAGAGTTGGAACTGGAAATTACTTCCACGAGGGCTCCCTGGTCACAGACTGTAAGTCCCACCACGTGTGGTGGCCAGACAGGCAGGCCCTTGTGCTCCTGGGTGCTGCCAGCTTAGGGAGGTGGACTGATGGGGCCTGGGGCCATATCATCACAGTGTTCAGAACAAAGTGCCGAGGGATATGTATTAACCATATTCCTCAGCATGGATCAAGTATCCTAAAATAAAGCAAAAGTTAAGTTCGATGGAGGAAGTCCGAGATTTCCAGAAGGTGACACTTTCTGGGTCTTGAAAGATGCATAGGAGTTGGAAAAGTGTGAGAGAGGCCTTCACAGCTGGAGAAAACAGCTTGGTGTGCAGACGAACGTTGGGTGACCAGGCGTGACCAAGTCAGCCTGAGGGCCTCAGAGACGCAGGAGTCGGAGCCGACAGATAAATCGGAACCGGATGGTCAAAGTTCTGACATGCTTCGAAATGTGGATCTGACACTGGAGGCTGTAGGGGAAGCTTTGGGCTTTTAATCAAGGGAGTGACCGTGTCACATGTGTCCTTTAGAACGCCTGTCAGCGCTTGATGGGGTGGGGGGAGAATGAAGAGAGAATGAGGGGAGCGCAACCAGTGAGGACGCTGGGACCCGTTCCGGTGGAGAGCCGGGCCGGGGTTTGACCTAGAGCAGTGGCCACATCCTGTCCCGTCCCGTCAGGAGACCTTGGTTACCTACCACGTGCCCATTCTGGTCACCATCCCCAAAGGGAGCCGGGAGGCATGAGCAGCGCCCCTCATGCACACTTAGGGCAGGTGCTGACTCACGCTGTGTGGGGAGGCAGAGGCCTGAGAGAGGCAGGGACGTGGACTGGAGGCTGCTGTAGGGTGGGGGAGAGCATCTCATGTGGGAGGTGCGTCCCCCATGCGACAGAGCGTCCCCGTGGGGTGGGGGGGCGGGCAGGCGGTGGCCCTGGTGGAGGAGAGGAGCAGGGCTGCACCTAGGTCGGGCCCAGGGGTGCTGCTGGCTGGGGTACGTGATCCCGCAGAATGAAGCAGGGGCACAGGGCCTGGGGGGTGGGGGCGGCGCTGGCAGATGCCCAGGGGTGCCGCTTGGAGCCGGAATTCTGAGGAGTTCTGAGATGGGAGCATGGGGATGGGGGCGTCACCTGTACGCTGGGTAAGCCTGGGAAGGAGCGGAGGCAAAGGTCAGAGTTCCAGTCTGTACTGGCGTCAGAGGCCTGTAGGTGTTAGGTATGTGGACCTGGGGCCCAAAACTCGCCGCAGAAACTGGGGAGTTGGGCTTGTGAATAGTCCTCGCGTCCCCGAGATTAGACGAGAGGCCTGTGGAGAAGGCGTAGTGGGACAAAGAAGAGTGTCTGGGGCTCTGTCCTCCCAGACGCCGGCCGCCTGTCCCGCTGCCTCCCGAGGGGTGCTGTCAGCGTCTGTGTGCTTCCTGCGGCTGGCGATGGGCGGCCGGGGGCACGGGCCCGGGAGCCCGGCCGCCTCACTGTGGACCTCGCCTCTCCTCACCGGGAGGACAGGGGGCACAGACCGCTGGCAGGTGTGGGGGGAGATGGAGAGGGCGCCCTGGGTGACTGCTCAGTAGACTTCACAGGTAGAGGGGAGCCCTGCGACGCACCTTCCACCCAGGGTTGGAAGGAAGGGCCTCTTGGGAGGTGAGATACCAGCAGTTTCGAAGGGGAAATAAGTCACAGGACAACCCCAGCGGAGTGTGAGGCGGAGGGCAGGGAGCGGCTCACCAGAGTGCGTCTCTCGGCTGCCCGTTTCAGCTGTGTGCACACACGCACGTACCACGGGACTGACGTTTCCACCTTTGCCTCCTTTCCACAGGTTCCCAGGACACAAAAATATAACAAATGTTTGGATGGGTAGATGGATGGATAGAATGGAATTAGAATCTAGAAATCCACCTGACATTAAAAGTAGATGAAAATTTCTATCTAGGAATCAAGTATATGTTAAAAGGTGATTCCCCCCATTAACTCAAAAAATAAAAAATATCATAAATGCTTGTTTATCGAAGTACAGAGGAGTGTGATTGCCAGTGCTCACTGTTAACCTTGTTGTCTTCGTAGTTTTTTTGTTTTTTTTTTTTAATGAAGTGAGACTGTTAAGAGTCACAGCTTCCATCATCAGAGATGTCCGTGATCCCCTCCTCCCAGTCTGGCCAGTTGATCAGAGAGGTGAGCCCTGCTCCCTTCACGCCCCTGAGTCCCCGTCATGCCGCAGGGCCTGGCAGCTGTACCTGTTCAGCCCAGAAGGAAGGGAGCGCCGGTCCCTGGGGGGTGGTGCCCGCAGGTCCGGGTTTCTCTCTGTAGTGCTGTGTATGTGCCGTGCCCATGCGCCTCTGCTGAGCGTCCGTGGGCACACCCACTGAGCTCCCAGGCCCCGGAGTGTGCCTTCCTTACACGAGCGCCTGGAGAGTCCCCCCCCCCCCCCCCCCCCCCCCCCAGAGCATTCAGCCTCGTGTGAAGCACCTTGAAGGGCTGAGGGTTTGCTTTTTACTACCTGTGGTTATGGTATCACTTAGTATATGATGATGAACTCACACCTGTTTGTAGAAATTCTAATCATTTCAGGAGTGTATCCAGAGAACAGTAATGTTTTGATTGTCGGGTAGGATGTGTGAGATGTAAAATCCAACACGTGCTTGTCACCGTGGCTGCTTTCATTGCTGACCTGTAGTGAGACCCTGTGTCTTGACTTTGCTCCCTCTCGTGCAAGGCGTGCAAGGCGAGGGCCGTCGAGGGCCGTCATGCCGGGTGGGTCCATGCTGTGGCCTTTAGGTGCGGTCTGAGTGAAGGGCCCGCCCACTGGAGGCGAGGCCACGTCTTCTCTCTAGTTGGGACACCCAGTGTCACCAGGAGGGTAGAGCCAGGCCCAGCCCTGCAGCCTTCTCTCCAGTTGGGGGTGTGTCGGTAGCTTTGTTTCT